GGTGAACCCGGTCGCATCGAATATATAAACACAACTGTCCAGGAAGCACCCCAAGGCGAACCAGGTCCCTTAGGTCCTCCTGGTCTGCGCGGTGAGGACGGACCAAAGGGATACCCAGGCATGAGAGGTTCTGTCGGTCCACCCGGCCCCCGGGTATGTCTTTATACCAATTCAATTTAAGTAAAACAACTTCCTAAATGTTAAAAAAATATAATCCGATGTAATTGAACTGTTGACCTCTGAGGGGATCATTATAAAAGCATTCCTTTATAGGGCGAAAAAGGTTCCCCCGGTATGCCCGGCTTTAGTGGCCCCATCGGAGTCAAGGGAGTACAAGGTGAACCCGGTCGTGATGGGCGTGTTGTGAATGCCCAGAAGGGTGAACCTGGTCCACGCGGTCGGCCTGGCTACCCTGGTCGCAAGGGTCAAAAGGGCGAGGCTGGTAAAGTGGATATTCACATAAATTTATTTTCCGCTCTACTGGTACACTTTTAAACAAGGCCTGTTTTTACTTTCTTTATTTTCTCAAAATAAGAGTTCTCATGCTCACTCTACCAAACGACTGCTTTGTGTATCTTCAGGACGGCATAAGTACCTACAGCAGGTGCAGGCCTACCTCAAGGGAGATACCGGTTTGAAAGGCGATAAAGGAGAGCCAGGCGTTCCCGGATTTCCAGGATCCCAGGGTAATTCCTGCCTTTTAAATCCACATTGCTGCTGCTGCTATCCTCTTACTGAGCTTTTGTGACCGGCCGTTTCCCACACGAACAGGAGCTAAAAAATACTGAAATGGATCCAGGGACTCCTGCGGCAGAGACCACAGTCAGAACGCGCCAGTTTTACTCATACGAGGAACTTGGAAAAAATTTAAATGTCCGTTTCCTATAGTCACACTTAGCGCTCCTTTAATGCTGTATGAAACGAGCTCCATGCACAGGCCTGAATCAGAAACTGATCTAAAATAGACGACGAGGAGGGTAGATGGCCTGATGTTAAGATTCGAAAAGAATAATAGGCAAAATTTACTTAGAGTTGACCCAATTGTGAAAATCCTCGAGGCGTTCGGCGGGATTTGAAACCACATAGTAGAGAAGGCCTTTACCGGAAGCCAACGCTCTAACCACTTGAGTTACAAACGCCCCACCTCTCGCCATGAATTAAATCACAATTGGGTCGATTTTACCCGCCCAAATTTACCGCTCGTATGGAATCCACCAATACGGAGACAGTAAGCTGACTGTCCGAGCAGGATTTCCTCAGCAGTCATCTAG